TTTTAGACTTTACAAAATTGGTGCGAAAGCTGTACAGTTAGTAGAAACTTGACTCTGATTGTGAACTTTGCCTTTTAAGGGGTTCTGTATGCTGTAGCAGGCCACAGCTCCTAGACAGCCCCGAGGATAATGCAGAGAATAGCCAAGGCTCAATATCGTACCTCTAAGCTATTGGATGTAGTAAATGCATTCTTTCTCTCTGTTCTTTTTTTTTTTTTAATCCCTTTGTGTGTGGGAACACTCATTTATGTGAGTGTCCATGTACACTAGAGGTCAGAGGTCAGCATTGAGTGTCCTCTTCAAGGGTTCTCATTTTTAGTTTAGATGTGTGGGTGCTTTACCCGAATGTCGGTCTAGTCGCCATGTGCATGCAGTGCCTACAGAAGCCAGAAGAGGGCGCTGGACCCCTGGGAGCTGGGCTTACAGACCGTTGGGAGCCATCGCGTGGGCGCTGGGAAGAGCTTTTTTTTGTTTGTTTGTTTGTTTTTGTTTTTTGTTTTTGTTTTTTTTTTTCGAGACAGGGTTTCTCTGTGGCTTTGGAGGCTGTCCTGGAACTCGCTTGGTAGTCCAGGCTGGTCTCGAACTCACAGAGATCCGCCTGCCTCTGCCTCCCGAGTGCTAGGATTAAAGGCGTGCGCCACCAATGCCCGGCCCCTTCCTTGTTCTTAACTGATTTAGTTTTTGAGACCTGGTCTTTCACTAAGCCTAAAGTTTGCTGTCCTGACCAGACTGGCCCCCCCAGCACCCCCTTTTTGGTGCTGGAGTGACAGATGTGTGCTACCACACCCAGCTGTTATGTGGGTTCTGGGAGCCTAAAGCCAAGTCCTCAGGGTTACACAGAAAGTACGTTTACCACTGAGCCACCTTCGAAGGCTCTTTTTATTTTTATAATGCATTGGTGTTTTGCCCGCATTCTTGTCTGTGGAGAGCATCAGGTCCCCTGGAACTTGAGTTGCAGACACTCGTCCCCTGGAAGAGCAGCCCATGCTCTTAACCACTGGGTGATCTCTCCAGCCCCTCTTAAACTGCTGCTGTCAGGTGTTTCGTCATAGCAACAGAAAAGCCGCTCACAGTTAGCAAGATGTGAGTGTGGTTGCCAAAGACCCAGGGATGGCAGGGTTGGAGGTCCAGCAGCTAGTCTGGCTCAGTGTTTATCAGAAGGCTGCTTACTCATTGTCCGTGTGTGCGTGCGTGCGTGTGTATGTGTGTGTGTGTGTGTGTGTGTGTGTGTGTGTGTGTTTGCTGTCTCTTCCTCCAACATTCATGGAAATCGGGAGTGACTGTCTCGCTGGGGCAGTTAATGTGTTTGAGCATCCTCAGCGGTTGGAAACACGACTTCTTGTCACGCTCGTTGCTCCTCCCCCGTGGGGCCACACTGGACGTCATCTTCTATAAAGCAGGTCTCGTTGTGCCCCAGCTACGTGACGGAATAGCTAGAACACTCCATTTGCTTCTGTGAAAAAGAGCAGACTTTGTGGCGGGAGACCTGGGATTTGAACTCCTGACCTACGGATCTTGGGAGGTTACCTAACCCTCTCCAGCTCCTTCTCTATCGCAGCGCCTATCAGTTAACGCCGTTCATCATGAGCTTTCTCTGTTCTTTACTTTTATTCTTCTCTCGTGCGTCCTTTATACTTTACACAGTTACACTGCGTGTAGCAGCAACCCCCACCTTGAGGAGCTCAGTTGCACACCCTTGCAAAGGGAGCATCCCAGCTGGCCTTCTTGACTGTCCATGGGTTGGGGAGGGTCACTGACCCTCACCTGTTATATGTAACTGCGCCCTAACTGCGTGAGGCCTTAGGGAGGACGGGCGTCTCCGTTCTTGTGACTATAGGTAAACTGGCCAAAGGCTGTTCAGGGGCAAACATTTGGGGCGAGCAAGCGCCCACGCTCCTGTAGGTGAGCCCCTCACCGACGCTCTGCGAGGAAGCCCAATAAACTTATGGGTTCCCCAGAGTGAACTGGGGCAGGATTGTGCCTCCATTTGTCACTGAGACCTTAGGAGGAGGGATAGACGGATGCTGCAGTGCCTGTGGAAGTCCCAGGACAACTTTCAGAGTTTCCTTCTGCCTGGTGCAGGTGGGCTCTCTCCTGTGGTATCCCCAAACTAGCTGCTTCCAGGCAGTTCTGTCTCGGCCGGGCATCTCACCACGGGAGTGCGGGGATTACAGACGTGTGCCACACATCTGGCTTTTCAGTGTGGGTCCTGGGGGTGCAAACTCGAGCTTCTGCAGATGATGTGTCCCGGACCTTGTTGTGCGGTTTTAGTCTGATTTTGCAGACTTGAACCCCTGGGTTAGCGAACTTACGGTTGTAAGGCTCAGCTCAGTTCTGAGTAGGCTGCCAATCAGCCCTAAGCGGGGTGACACTCTTGCCAACGTAGTTTAGTTCTTTCTTTTAATGCCATCTCAGCCACAGGAGCTTCACAACTACTTTATACTGATTTCTTTACGTTGTGTGTTTACATGTGCGCTTGGCTGTGTACATACATTCTGCGGTATACATGCGGAGGTCAGAAAAGAAACCGCAGGTCGTCAGCCGTGGTAACAGTGCCCATACCCACCGGGTCACCCGGCAGCTCCCAAATGGGCTTGCTTGCGAGCTATAGTGTGTCACAGGCTCAACTCTGCCCAGGCTTTCTCTCCGGCCACGCCATCCTATAGTTAGCTTTCATGTTATTTTCATTTTAACCAGTCAGTCATGATTTAACCCCAGCCCTCAAGAGGCACAGATGGGTGTATTTCTGTAAATTCAAGGCCAGCCTGGTCCATATAGTGAGCTCATGACTAGTCAAGGCTATGCAATGAGACTGTGTCTCAAATAGAAATTATTTTATTTTAGTTTCTTTTCTGTGTGTGTGTATGCATATGTATGTATGTGTATGTGTGTGCACTTGTGTGTGTGCGCATATGTATGTATTTGCATGTATGTGCGCTTGTATGTGCGTGCATATGTATGTATGTGTATGTGTGTGCACTTGTGTGTGTGCATGTATGTATGTATGTGTATGTATGTGCACTTGTGTGTGTGCGCATATGTATGTATGTGTATGTGTGTGCACTTGTGTGTGTATGCATATGTATGTATGTGTATGTGTGTGCACTTGTGTGTGTGCGCATATGTATGTATGTGTATGTGTGTGCACTTGTGTGTGTGCGCATATGTATGTATGTGTATGTGTGTGCACTTGTGTGTGTATGCATATGTATGTATGTGTATGTGTGTGCACTTGTGTGTGTATGCATATGTATGTATGTGTAAGTGTGTGCACTTGTGTGTGTGCATGTATGTATGTATGTGTATGTATGTGCACTTGTGTGTGTGCGCATATGTATGTATGTGTATGTGTGTGCACTTGTGTGTGTGCGCATATGTATGTATGTGTATGTGTGTGCACTTGTGTGTGTATGCATATGTATGTATGTGTATGTGTGTGCACTTGTGTGTGTATGCATATGTATGTATGTGTATGTGTGTGCACTTGTGTGTGTGCGCATATGTATGTATGTGTATGTGTGTGCACTTGTGTGTGTGCGCATATGTATGTATGTGTATGTGTGTGCACTTGTGTGTGTATGCATATGTATGTATGTGTATGTGTGTGCACTTGTGTGTGTGCGCATATGTATGTATGTGTATGTGTGTGCACTTGTGTGTGTGCGCATATGTATGTATGTGTATGTGTGTGCACTTGTGTGTGTATGCATATGTATGTATGTGTATGTGTGTGCACTTGTGTGTGTGCATGTATGTATGTATGTGTATGTATGTGCACTTGTGTGTGTGCGCATATGTATGTATGTGTATGTATGTGCACTTGTGTGCACGCACATATGTATGTATGTGTATGTGTGTGCACTTGTGTGTGTATGCATATGTATGTATGTGTATGTGTGTGCACTTGTGCCATAGAGCGTATATATGGAGGTCAGGGGACAACTTTGGAGCCTTCCACCTTGCTCAGGTCAGGTAGATCTTTCGTTTCTGCCATGCTTTGTAGCCCAGGCTAGCTGACTCCTATCTCCACCTCCTGCTGCTGTAGGAGTGCAGGGACTACAGGTGCACACTGCCACATACTACTTTTTGTGGGTTCCCAGAATCGAAATCAGGTCACTGGGCTTACACGGCAAGCACTTTTACCCACTGAACCAGTTTCGTTGGCCCTTGGGTATAATACATTATATATATTAGGGAGTGCATATATAATAGGGAGTGCAAAGCCACCCTCAGCCACCTGTAGGAGACCTTGTCTCCCTTTTTTTCCTAGCATTTTAATTTCTTTTTTTTTTTCTTGCTTTTGAAAGACAGGGTCTAACTGTGTAGCTCAGGCTGGCCTCAAACTCACAATCCTGCTGTCTCAACCTCTGTGGTTCTGGGCATGTGGAGTGCTGATTACACCGGGGACAAAGGTCACTGGGGTCCTAGCAGGGAAATGAGTGAGGCAGACGGAATCAGGAAGGAACAGAGAGCAGAGGCAGGTGAAGGCCTGCTGAGAGCTGAATTCTGATGGAGAGAGGGAGAGAGACAGAGAGGGAGAGGGGGAGAGAGAGAGGGAGAGAGAAAGAGAGAGGGAGACAGAGAGAGAGAGGGAGACAGAGAGAGAGAGGGAGACAGAGAGAGAGATAGAGGGAGAGAGGGAGGGAGGGAGAGAGGGAGAGAGGGAGGGAGAGAGGGAGAGAGAGAGAGAGAGAGAGAGAGAGAGAGAGAGAGAGAGAGAGAGAGAGAGAGAGAGAGAGAGAGAGAGAGGCTTGATACAAGAGAACTCCCGGTTCTGAGAGGACAGAACGCTGAACTCCCTGATGGAATGGCAGCCCCAGGTGGGACTCACCCACATCCAGGAAGTCCACCCTCCCCAGGATCACAGGAAACTAAACAGGATCCCACAAGCACCCTCACAACATCATCATTTGAAAGTGTTGGGGGGTCTCCACTGTACCTCTTCTCCCCCCTCCTTCCCTGGGTCCGACAGATGTGTGCCAAGAACCATGAACATTTGCTTCAGACTCCCATAATCTTTATTTTCCACCTGTCAGATCAGACTGGTGTTTTGTTTTTTTTGTTTTGTTTTGTCCTTCCATGCAGGTCAGTGTAATGTCAGACTGTTGGGTACCAACCAAGACACATCCTAGCCTGGCTGGGGATGATGCCGAGGACAGATGTGCAACCAGAACCCAGCTTAACGGTGGAGGCGCGGCCAAAATGTGACAATCAACAGAGCACACTTACAAAGGGACAGCTCAAGCAGCTGTAGAGAGACCCAGCTCACCAGAGACCTGAGCCCATGTCCTCCCTGCTAGTCCCTCGCGTGGCGCTCAGAGCCTTTCTGGGGTTTATTTTCTTCCCACAGCTTTCCTCCAATCCCTTCATAGGCTTCTAAGCAGCATCGCCAGCCAGACCACTGTCTCTGGACTGTGTGTCCAAACTTGAAGGAAGAGTGCTTTAAAAACTGCCCTCCTGTTAGCCACCTCGCTTCCGAGACCCTGGCCGCACTGTCTTTTAGCCATTTCTTCTTGTATCCTGGAGCAGGAAAACTCAGCCAAGCCGGCGGGGCAGGGTTTCTTTTTTATTTTTTGTGTCTTTCACCGGAGTTTCAGGTGTTCTGCTAGCCAGCCAAACTTCTGGATGACCCAGAGGCTACGGAGGTCAGGCCCAACTCTCTACTCAGTGACGAAATCAGAGCTGGGCACCCCCTCTGCCTGACTCCCGCCCCTGTCCATCCTGGTCCCCTCCACTGCCTCTTTAGCTCCTCTGCCCAGCACCGAGGAGCCGGGGTTGCGCAAGAGGAGCAAACCTTTCCCGAAAGCTCTGCGCACCACGGAGGAGGAGAAATAGAAGAGCAGCGGGTCCAGGCTGGCGTTGAGCGAGCTGAACACCACAGCCTCCACCCGCCACGGGGGGCTCTGCCGCAAGTAGAACCCCACCAAGTGGGACACGTTGTAAGGTCCGAAGCACACCAAGAAATTAAGAAGCGTCACCACGGCCAGGCCTACCGCCCGGCGTCTCCTCTGCACCCCTACGTGGGGCTGCGTGAGCATGATCCACACGAAGCGCCAGTAGCAGAAGATGGTGACTGCCATGGGGACGAAGAAGAGGACCAGGCACAGCTCCAGCCGCACGGGCAGCACCACGTCCAGCTGTTCTTGGGTGAAGTTCTCATAGCACGTTATTTGGTTGCCAGTGCCCACCGGCTCGGTCGAGTTCAGGTACTGGACGATGATGACGACGGTGCAGTGGCCGAAGGACATGATCCAGGCCACCAGAGCAGCGATCACGCCGTACAGGGGCCGGCGGGATAGCTTGTACTGCACCGGGAAGGCCACTCCCAGGTACCGCTCCATGCTGATGCCCGCCAGCAGCCACGTGCTGCAGTAGATGCTGCTGTAGAACCCGAAGCCCGTGAGCGCGCACACGATCTTCGGCAGGTACCAGCGAAAGTTAGACGCCGCTTCCACGATCCGGAAGGGCAGCAGCAGCAGCAGGAGCAAGTCGGCCAGGGTCAGATTAAGCAGGAGGATGTGCACCGGAGCGGGCTGGGGCTGGCGGACCCGGCTCACGAAGGCCCGCAGGGCGAGCAGGTTGGCAGGGAGCCCAGAGAGAAAGATGAGGATGTAGGCTGTGAGGATCAAGGAGCTGTGCCAGTCTGGGGTCATTCTGGAAGGTGGAGAGGGGTCAGGAACTCCCCACCCTCACTCACAGCCTGCAGACCCTCCTCCCTCTGGTTCAGACGGCTCACATCCTCCTTGGTTCCCAGGCCACAGCTGTCTGTCTGCGCCTCACCACCGCTCGCCAGAGCCACCTGCCAGAACTGCCCAGAGCAATTATTGACTTAGCCTTGGGCGGGATATTAAGCTGCAGTTATTACGTTTGCCATCCTGTGTCTCTGGGGGGAGACCAGCTCGACTTCCCACGGGAATTCCCCCTCTGCTTTCCCCCGGGCCCCCTTCCTATTTAGCATCACAGATAATAGGAAGTGGCTGTGGTCAGGTCCCTTTCTCACAGCTGGCTGTGGCTGGGAGCCTGGCAGCAAAGCCCGGTGGGAGAAGTAGGCAAAGACACTGGGAAAGCTCAGGAGGTGTGTCTTGGGGGGGGGGAGAAACTTCCAGAAGGCCTGTCCTGCCAACCCTGGTCTGGCTCTCCTTAGCTCCAGGTGCCCACCCCACCCCACCCCCGAGCACCTTACCTCCTCCGGCCGGCTTCAGGGTCTCTTTTGCCTGGTTCTCCTCTACACCAGTGCTGTGGGTCCTACCAAAAAAAGGGGAAAGTTAGAGTAGCCAAGGAGGGAGACTTAGCCAGCACCCTGCTGGGTGGCCTGTTCCCCCCCAAATTTCAGACACACATTCACGGAAGCCCAGAGGACACAAGCAGAACGCCACCTCTACCCAGCTGACTCTGTCCCCACTTGGCTGGTAACCCTTGCTAACTCGAAGTCTCTCCCTGATTCCTTCTTCATTCCCAGGTCTGAGGTTCCTCACTGCCCCCCCCCCCGCCCCCTACAACATCTGGGTCGTTACTTTCCTGTTCCGACAGACACCCTCCAGCCTCCTCCTCACCCCACACCTGCTCCTCAAATGCAAAGCCCCAGCTTCTTGTCGCCCCCCCTGGCTCGCCTTGCCTGGCTGCTGACAGAGGCTCCTCATGGGGTTCCTGGTGCAAGAGGCCAAGGGACTTTTAACAGTTGCTGCAGCCCTAACAGAAAAGGGCGGGGGAGTCAAAAAAAAAACTGTAAAGAACCTGGTTGGTGGGAAAGTGTTACACCAGCATGGGTCACATGGCCAGAGAGGGGCAGGTCAGTATTTCCTCTCAGACCCGAAGGAGGGGGGGGCTGCGGCTCTACCCTCTCCCTGGAGATCTGATCTATCCTGACTTCCACGGATTTTTCTGTTCCTACTTCCTGGCTCCCCCCTCCCCGCCCTCGCCCCCACCATCCCCCACCCCCATCCGCGGCATGTCCCCTTCTGTTTCCTGACTGGTGTCTTCTGTGGATGTCTAGGAGGTCAACTTTATTCGCAGAATGGGCCCCCGGCTCTGGTTCTTGTAACTTCCTTGTGCTCTCCCCTTGTCCTCCCCAACAAGTTTCCTTTGGGCTCGAAGCTGAGATGGACGGGCTTTTCCTAGCTTGCGTCTGTCTCGTGGTGGACAGAGCCAGGCGGCTGTGGGCAGCAGTCCAAATCTCCGCACTGGGAACTCTGGGTCAGATCAGGTTTTATGAACTTTCCTTTCCTTCTGCAAGTGAGCCTGGGAATCCTAACAGCACATCCCGGGTGACTGGTGAGGCCGAAGATGTTGAGCATCAGGGTCAGGGGGACCTGGTGGTTCCCTGCCTCAAGCCTGTCAGACTAGAGGGTGAGAGCTGGGTGCGGTGCCCCAGGCCTGAGGCAGAAGGCTAGACCTGAGGCCAGCCTGGGCTACAGATGATGGACAGTGAGGCTCACTCAAGGTCAGGTGTCCCTTCCCTCCCCAGCATCCCTTCTTCATTCTCCTGCTCTCCCTCCCCCACTTATCTTCCGTTTCCTGTCTCCTGACCTGCTAGTTAGTATCAAGTTAGAAGACCCCAGCGAGTCCTTCAGAGGACTGCAGAGGTCGCTCTGTGGCTAAGAGCACTGACTGCTCTTGCAGAGGACCTGGGTTCAGTTCCCAGCACCTAGAAGGTGGCTCACACTATAACTCCAGTTTCAGGAGATGTGACGCCCTCTTCTGGCCTCCACGGACACTGCACACACATGCTATATATACCTAGATGCAGACAAAACACATACATAAAAAAAAACTCCTCAAAAACATATACAAGGGGGCCTGGAGAGATGACTCAGAGGTTAAGAGCACTGACTGTTCATCTAGAGGTCCTGAGTTCAATTCCCGGCAACCACATGGTGGCTCACAACCACCTTGAATGAGATCTGGTGCCCTCTGCTGGCATGCAGGCAGAAGACTGTATACACAATAAATAAATAAAATATTAAAAATATATACAAGGGAAAACAAGGACAGTGAGGACACGTTGCCCTCTTTTTCATTCCCTCCTCTTTGTTCCTTTCTTTCTCCCTCCCTTTTCTTCTTTTGTTTTCTAATATTAAAGATGGGTTCTAAACTATTTGAATGATAGCCACGCCCCCAGCCCCTCACTGGGAGATTCTAGGCAGGGGCTCTACCACTGAGCCACACCCCCAGCCCCTCACTGTCCTCAGGCCAGGAAGCAGGAACAAGATGTGTGTGTGTGTGTGTGTGTGTGTGTGTGTGTGTGTGGAGGAGGTCAGGTAAAACTTCCAAAGGCCTTCCCCTACCTACTTAATCCCAGCCAGGCCTAACTTTCTAAAATCTCCGTAGCCTTCAAAACAGTCCTTAGCTAGCTGGGTACTGAGCATTCAAAACAGGAGCCTGGAGGGGTCATTTCAGATCCGAACCATAGTACAGGAGAACTAATGAAGACACGTACTGCCACTTGCTACTAAGCGTTGTTTTGTGTTCATGATTTTTCTACCGTCACGAGGATCTAGACTGACTACAGGATAGAAGCTCACTGGCCAGCCCCGAGAGGCAGGACACTCTCTTGTTTTCTGCCCGTCCCTCATGCCTCCCCCTGTGGTGGCGCTGTGTCGCCCACGGCAGGACATGGCTCCTCAGCTTCACGGAATTTGCAAAGGGGCCCCTTAGCCCCATGCTGCACGCTGAGCAGAGCAGACAGCCACATGGCCCTCTGGGGGTCTTTCCCGGCATTGGGTAGATGCCTCAGAGACACAAAATTAGAGCCCATCATTGTGTTAGCCAGCACCCTAGCTGCCACACTTGGGCACAACTGGGATTCGGCTCGTTTATTTCACAGGCTAGGAACCCGATTGACCGAGTCAGTGCGGTACAGCAGCCAGGAGCTCCGAAGTCAAAGCGGTATCCCACACACACATAGCAAGGAGCGCCAGGGGGTGAACCTGCTGTGCCCTTCAATGCCAATCCCGTCAAGAGCCCAGGGCCACAGAGACAGGTGCCACAGAAGCAGAGGTATAACACGATGGGGTCAGAGATGTTGCCCTGGGTTGGGGTCTCCAGTGCCAAGGGAAGGAGGGCTGGAAGGGAAGCATTATGGCACACACCCGTAATCCCAGCGCTCAGGATGGAGGCGGGAGGATCCAGAGTTCGGAGCCAGCTTGGGCTACATCACAAAAACCCTGTCTCTTGAATCAGGTGGGTTCCAAAGCTCTCTGACAGATCTTAGGACAAACCTTGTTTTCACGGTCCATCCAAAACGAAGCTGGAGCTCCGGACATCACACACCTGTGCTCCTGGGATATTCCACATGTCGTGTGTCCTGTCCCTCTTCTTCCTTCCACTGTCTACACGGTAGGAGTCCCCGAGGATTCTGAGGCATCAGAAGCATGCTCCAGGGAGAGTGACAGCAGCAGTGTCTATGAGTGCTACCTGCCTGAATCAACTCATTTCTTCGTTTGCTTAGTTGCCCATAGACGGATCCTTCCCATGTGACCAGGAACCTTGTTAGTCTCTCGCTGCCCAGTCTCCATGGGTCTCGGTGTGAATGGCCGTGCTTGGGCAGGGCAGGCAGTCTCATTAAATGAGAACCTGTCTCCATTCTGGCTCACACCCCCGTGCTCGGTGCCTTGACGCTGTTAGCCTGTCATATTGGCCCAGAATGATGTCCAGGGGCATTGATGCCTCTCTGAACTGAGGTGTCTTACTCAGAGTTTCTATTGACATGCTGAAACTCCATGACTAGAAGCAATACGGAGAGAAAATGGTTGTCACAGGAGTTTCTTTCTAGCCTGGTCCAATCAGCCCCAAATAAACAACACAGACGCTATATTAGCTATAAAACTGTTGGCCGATGGTTAGGGCTTCTTACTAGCTACCTCTCTCTTAATTATATAACCCGTTTCTATTCATCAACGTATTGCCACAAGGCTTTGATTTACCCATAATCCAGCATGTCCTTTGGCAGCATGATGTCTCTTCATGGCCTCTCTCCCCAGAATTCCCCTGGTGTCCTAGCTCCACCTATCTTCCTGCTTCTACGGGACAATCAGTGTTTTATTCATCAAGCCATAAGAGAAACACATACACAGAAGGACACCCCCCCATCAAAGGGTTTATTTCATCTCACATTTCCAGGTCCATCACTGAGGGGAGTCAGGTCTGGAACTCAAGGCAGGAACCCTGGGACAGGAACTGAAGCAGAACCATGGAGGAAAGCTGTTCACTGGCTTCCTCCCACAACTTGCTCAGTAGGCTTAATCGCACCACCCAGGACTACCAGCCCAGAGGTAACAGCACCTACAGTGGGCCAGGCTCTCCCACATTAATGAGAAAATACATTGGGGACTCGCCTACAGGTCAATCTGATGCAGGCATTTTCTGAATTGAGAGTCCCTATTCCAAAATGACTCTAGTTTGTGCCAAGCTGACGTAAAACTAACCAGCACAGAGGGCTTTTGGCAGTCCATCCAACAGAACATGAACAGCCATCAGTGAGGTCCTCCCTGCCATGCCCATCCCCATTTCACGTGGCAGGATGGCTCTCCTAGCCCCGTGGCCCAGGGGCTGGTATTATGAGCGTGACCACCACACCTGGCATCCTGTGGGCCTCCGGAGGTGCACAGCTGTCTCTGCTCTCCCAGGACATGGCTGGCTACAACTCTCACTGATGTTCTCAGAAATCCAAGTTCTGGTTCATTTTCCTTTTTTTTTTCTGTTTTATTCTTTCCATCCTTTCTGTCTTTCTTTTTGTTGTTTGTGGCGTGTTCCTTTAACTGTGTGAGTGTATGTCACTGTGACTGGTTTAATAAAGAAGCTGGCTGACCAGTAGCTGAACAGGTAGAGATTAGGCAGGACGCGAGACAAAAAGAGAGAGCTCAGAGAAGAAGGGGAGGAGACAGAATCCCGAGAGATGCAGAGAGAAGCAAGATGGACATGTCGTACTGAGCAAAAGTACCAAGCCATGTGATGGACTGTAGATAAGAAATATGGGTGAATTTAAAATGTAAGAGTTGCTGGGCGGTGGTGGCGCACACCTTTAATCCCAGCACTCGGGAGGCAGAGGCAGGTGGATCTCTGTGAGTTCAAGACCAGCCTGGTCTACAAGAGCTAGTTCCAGGACAGCCTCCAAAGCCACAGAGAAACTCTGTCTTGAAAAACCATAAATAAATAAATAAATAAATAAATAAATAAATAAAATGTAAGTGTTAGATAGTAACTAGCCTAAGCTATTGGCTGAGAATGTATAATTGACAATAGGTCTCTGTGGTTATTTGGGGGTGGTTGGTGGGACAGAGATGACCAGCAGTAGACAGAAATCTTCACCAACGTTCTTTTGTTTTGTTTTAGTTTTTCAAGACAGAGTTCCTCTGTCTAGCCCTGCCTATGCTGGAACTCGCTCTGTAGACCAGGCTGGCCTGGAATTCATGTAGATCTGCCTGTCTCCATCTCCCGAATACTGGAATTAAAGGCATGGCACTTTATTCATTTATTTTTCTAAGTAGGGAGGTGTT